CCGCCCCTTTCAGCACCCTGGAGAGCTCCTCCATCTCTCCTCCCGGGCCCGCACGCTCCCAGGAAAATACCCCCAGCTGTAATCTGGTGGCGGCGCCGGAGTGATGTCATTGTTTGTGGAAATCTGTAGGGCTCTGGAAAGGGAATTACGATGTGTGCCGCTCTCTGAGGCCCCGAGGGGAGCTGGGGCACGGGCCTCTCCCTATTCCTCTTCCCTGCTTATTTTCTACTGCAAAACAACTCTCTCTCTCTCTCTCTCTCACACACACCTCTCTCTCTCTCTCTCTCTCTCTCACACACACACACACACACACACACACACACACACACACACGAGTCAAGCGCTCAAGGCATACTTGCTTCTCCTTCTCTCAATAAAAAAGCAAATATTAATCCTCCTCCCGCCACTTTGGGCAAATCCCAGGGGAGGGTTGCTTCCCTTCCTGGCGCGGGGCTGGGGTGGGTGGGAAAAGTAGCCTTCCTGGGGTGACTCGTGGGGGCGAGAGTGCAGGAACGAGCTGTTTTAAAATTTTTTTTATGTAGGCTCCAGGCAGGTCTGGAACTAAACAGCTGGGAAGCCTGGCAGGAGATCAGGCTCGCCCCCACCAGTAAGTGTGACTAGATGGGACTCCTCAAGGAGTCTGGGCTGCTCTGCGGAGACTGCCTTCAAGAAAGCCGCGGCTGGGGTTGACATGCCTGGAGGTGCATTCTCAGACTTGGGTACGTTCGTTTGGTTGCACAAGGACAGCGAGAGAGGGTGCTGCCTTTTCGGAAGGCTCAGCCAGAGTTCCCAGGCGCTGGGCCAAGGCTCCAGTTGAGCGTCTTGACTAGGGCGAATTCGGGCCAAGTGGCAGGGGGTCAACTAAATTATCCAGTTAAGAAAAGTGCACTCACGTTCTACAAACAACTTATCTACATGACTTCTTCATGCCTTAGTGAGAGGAAGCAGGGAGGTGATGTCTGCAAGAAAATGAGAGTCGTTGTTTTAAAGGAACGCAAATAGCGTTGAGTTAAAAGAATATGTACACTGATCTAGACTGTGTGGCTCCAAAGTTCAAATCCTGCCTTACTTGGGTAAGTAGGAGATTTTTTTTCCCTAGAGGCTTCAGTGTATGCAACCGAACGTACCCAAGTCTGAGAAGGAGGTAGGGAGAGAAAGAGAGAGAGAGACTACAATATTGACACATTACACATACACACATATATATTTCAGAGTCTCCCCTTTTCATTTTAGCATTAAGTTAGGTTCTACACAAGAAAAACACTAATTGTAGAAATAAATATGCACAATGCCATGGGACACACTGTCCTTGAAACAGATCTCATTGTTGACAAAACTGGCTCTCTCCAAACACATTCAAGTATTGCCAAATAAAAATGTAGGTATTATTGAAGACTTTGATTAAAGCATAAGACATCTGTGTGCAGTTTTTATTATTATTTGCAATAGTAGTTCTTGAATTCCTGTAAGAAAATTTAAGTGAGGTGCTAAGGAGGTGATAGGACACAAGATAAAGATGAAAAGGACCAGAGTAGAGACAAGGTTTCTAGGAAAATATTAATAAAAAGGAAGAGAGCTACTCTAGTTCCTCAGTTCTTTACTGGTCAGAGGCTCATTTTTGCCAAGATTAAAAAAAAAATCACCTTACCTTACTTCACAGTTTACCTCTCATCGTCTATCTGTTTGATTTTAACATAAAGTTCTGTTACTCAGGGATCTTCAGCTCTTCCTTTCTCTCTCTTCCTTATATTTTGTCCATATTTTGAGTAGAAGTACTAGGCTGGCATGAAGAAATACCAAGTCGTTCTTCCTGCCATGTATTGTCACTTGAGAAAAATGGCACCAAATGTGAAAATTACATTAGATGGATTCACAATCATGCAAAGCACTTCAAAAGCAGCAACAGAGATAAAAATCTAAGTCTTTAGAAAAATAGATCTGAAGAGCATGAAATAAGTCAATTTAGATGATTATGGGTGTTGGGAAATAGTGCTGCTAATGTAGCTAACTCTTTCTGAAAATGAACATGAAATTACCATCTATTCAGAGGTATTTATTAATTTTTTCTGAAACCACAGAGCAATACTTCATTTCCTAAATAAATTCCAAAGATGAAATGCTAGTAAATGTTGAATCTTATGTATCTGCATTTTAAATAATTAAAACCATGTAAAATTAGGTACAAGCTAAATAAAGCCTGGATGGCTGATTAAAATAAGCCATTTTTAGTGGTTTACATAGAATACAGCTCATCATAATATTGTCAGAACAGCATAGAAAATGAAAATAGATTTTTTGTATGCAAATGATAAATTCTAACACTTAACAATGTAGTAAGTAAGTGGAGGAAATGTATTGACATTTTTTGAAATACAAATACACATCCACGTGCACCTATGAGTTTTAGAGAACTATTTCTAGCTCACTTTTGGATTACCATTAGTAACTTTGGTGTAAGAAGGTGAACAGAAGAGAAAAAGGCAGACAGATATTTCAAGGACTGAAATGCAATCCAGTTGAAAAGAACTCTTTTGCAGGCTCTGCTGTCACTGGCTGTGCCACTTGGACCAAACCAATGCATTTCTCAAAGCCTCTCTGTCTCCTTATCTGTAAAAGGAGACAGTTGAATTAGATACTTTCCAGGTCCAAAAGCCCACAATTTCAAAGAGATGCTGAAGTACAGACTATGATGTACAAAGCATCATCAGTAGCTTGAGGAATGTTGAGTACAGTCATGCTTTTTTAAAATAACAGTATGGTGGTCAATGATAGACTGATTTATTTTTATGTAACCTCTCTCAAAGAGTCTTGTGTTTACTAATTTTATGGATTTGAAGAAAGAACAACTGGTACAAACTGGCTAACAGTATCAAACATGAAAACCATCAGTATCGAGATTCTTACTATTTAAGGTACTGTTGTATATGTAGAGAAAACTTGGGTATTTGGTTCTGGTTCAGGTATGACACATACTCCCTACAGGCTCTTTGAAGATGTGGTCCTGAAGAGACCAGAATATTCTCATTTTATGGCTTCATAACTATAACCCAACAGACCTATATGTACATAGACTAACAGAACCCAAACCACCCAAGGTATGATTGGGAGTCTTCCTATGCAGATGTATTTCTGGGGAGAATTTTGGGATCTTTTGGTCAAGGGAAACCCATCACTGCAGAGGAGAGAGAAAACTAGAAGCAGCCCCAGGAAAGGCTGTTGGATCTTTGAATATTCTTTGGGCCATTGGGGAAAAGATCTTATGTTTCCATTCATTTCTGTTCAATTTGGTGGAGGAGTAATCAACTTGGGTGGGATGAAGGGGAATAAGATATGAACAACAGAAGGTACAGTTTAAAATACAACTTTGTTAGAAATTAGGTTAGGATTTTCCATTTCTGTTGCATTCATTTTGAACACTTTAAATGCAGTAATAATTTCATTGGGTACACAACTCTCTATTATCATAGTATATTACTAAACTTTTCAAGTAGATTCCTTTAATGACACTGCTCCATGTTCAGGCTTTCTGAAGTACCGTATCATCTTACAGCTTTCTGCCAGATTTTGAAATCAACATTGACCAAGTTTTTATAGTTTTCTCCAGACAATTCTTATTTTCCAAGATCTCACTTCATTTTCCTGTGGTGTTTATTTACTTCCTCATATTTGCTGTAATTTAAAATTCAGGAAATTTTAATTAGTGCCTTGGTGTATACTCACTCCCTTTAATTCAGAGGGATTCACATGTCTTACCTTTCATTCCTGTAACTTTTACCAACTTATTCCTTTTTCTTAAATGACCTATCTCTGCTTTTCCTTCAGTTACACAATCTCAGCTGACTTTTGTTATCTAAGCTGTCTTAAATTAATACTGTGGGGAGAACTCATGAGGCTTTATCAAGTGTTTTATTATCATCAAGGCATTAAATCTAGAGTACTTTGAGTTGTATTCATTTTCTAACTTCATCAACAAGTCATCAGATTTATTCGAACTAATCAACTCTTCATAAACAGAAGCTACTCATTGCTTTTTTATTTTTCAGGACAGTAAACATTTATTTTTTATGCTAATTTAGGTTCTATTATTTTGCTAGGATTTGAAGAAGCTACACAATGAGCACCCAGGGCCCTTTTCATCTTCTTTTGAAAATTAAGAACACATTGGTATTCACTATCTTTAGATCCCTCTTTAGGTCTACAGGACTACAGAATAGTGTGTGCTCACTTGGAAAATTAATTAGTTATTTCTCAGGTCTTATTGGAACATTGCTTATTGTCTGTAGAAAGTGATTAACTATTCATGAATTCTCTACCTTGTGTTATTTCTTTTTCTGTTTCACAGTCTTAAAAAAAACAGCAAATCTTCCTCAATTCATTTTTTGAATGATTATGAAAATTATCTTTAAAAGGGAGATTTTTTTGATCTCCTCAAACTACCTATAACATAGAAATAATTCAGAGAGAACAAAGTGCATGGCTTGTTAGCAAATATAAACTAGAATTTAAAAAGATAAAAATTTTATGTGTAAAATAAAAGTTAAAACATTAAAATATATGTACAAGTTTTTTTTTTTAAGGCTAACTCTGCCATTAAAAGAAACATGATTCTAGGAAAGTCTTTACTTAGACCTAAATTCTTTTGGTAATTACATACTCTTTTGTAATGGTTTGGATGACCTCACC